TTTGCTCAGATTATGATCCCAGTGTCCTGGGATCAAGCCCCATATTGGGCTCCCTGCTCAGAGGGGAGCCTGCTTCTCCCTCTCCCCCCACCCCCCGCTCATGCTCTCTCTCTCTCTCGCTCTGTACTCTTTCTCTCTCAAATAAATAAAATCTGAAAAAAAAATACTCTCTTGCATAACGTTAAATATCTTATTGTACCTCAGTAGTCTGGCATTGATAGAATAAAATATATAATCCACAATCTGTATTTACATTTTTCTGTCTATACCCAGAAATATCCCCGAAAAGTTTATTTCCCCCTTTCTGGGACCTAATTCGTGACTATACATTATACTTGGTTGTCATGTCTCTGTATCTTTAATCTATAGCAGGGCCTAGCAGACTTTTTCTTAAATAGTCAGATAGTAAATAATTTTGGCTTTGGGAATCAGCTGCGCTTTGCAACTACTCCACTCTGTGATTGTATTTAGAAAGCAGCCATAGACGTTATCTAAACAGATGAGTGTGGCTGTGTTCTAATAAAACTTTATTTATAGAGGGGGCCTGGGTGGCTCAGTTGGTGAAGCATCTGACTCTTGATTTTGGCTCAGGGTTGTGAGATCGAGCCCCATGTTGGGCTCTGCACTGGGTGTGGAGCCCGCTTCAGATTCTCTCCCTCTCCCTCTTTCCCATTTCTTTCTCTCTCCCAAAATAAACACACACACACACACACACACACACTTTATTTATAGAAACAGGCTAAAGGTTGTAGACCTCTGATCTAGAATAGTTTGTTTTGTTTTTTTTTAAAGATTTTATTTTTTTCTCAGATGGAGAGAGAGAGAGCACAAGCAGGCAGAGGGAGAAGCAGACTTCACGCCGGGCAGGGAGCCCAATGTGGGACTCGATCCCAGGACCCTGAGATCATGACCTGAGCTGAAGGCAGCCACCTAACTGACTGAGCCACACAGGCGTCCCTAGAATAGGTTTTTTTGTGTTTTTTTTTTTTTTAATTTTAATTTTTTAAGTATGCCCAGCATAGAGCCTAATGTGTGGGGCCTGAACCCACACAACCCCCAAGATCAAGATCTGAGCTGAAAATGGGAGTCTGATGCTCAACTGACTGAGCCACCCAGGTGCCCCTAGAATAATTGTGTTTTTTTTTTTTAAGATTCATTTATTTATTTTAGAGAAAGAGAGCAAGAGGGGCAGAGGGAGAGTTTTAAGCAGACTCTGCAAAGCATGGGGCTTGATCTCATGACCCTGAGATCATGCCCTGTGCCAAAATCAAGGGTCAGCGCTTAACTGACTGGGCCACCCAAATGCCCCTATGTAAATGTTTTATATTCACAGATGTGAATAAAGCATTCAAGAGGACTTGGATAATGAAGGGTAGTCAAAATAACTTAGATTTAGAATTGGAAAGTATTAATATTTTAATAAAATAAAATTCCATAGTATAAAAGCTAAACTTACTTTACGTTGAAGACGTGAGACAATAAAATTAACAATTCTTTGCCACAGGTAAGCCTACTATTTGTAGCAGTGGATTTAGTTTAGAAACAGATAAATAATTTTTGATAGGTTTAATACAGAGTTGTCCTTGTGGGAATGCTATAACTATATTTTCATTCACACAAAAGTATATACATTTAAAAAATCATTCTACAGATTACTTGGTTGAGTGAGTAGTAGCAAATGTGTGAAAGTAGCCTGTTTTGCTGGAATTAAAGAGTTGCAGTATTTTTAGTGCTTGAATTTCCTTTAAATATCTGTATGAACATCTGTGGTGATTGGGTGCTATACTGCCATCTTTTATTGGTTTTTGACAGAGACAGTGTTTTTCTTCATATTGTGCCTTTATCACAATTTGATTCTGGTTTGACTCTATAACTTGTAAAAGTCTGTTTCCTTTTCTACATAGCTGTGTGTTAAAGATTGAAACAATATTCTGTTGGAGGTTTTAATTTCTTGGGTAAATATTCTCAGAATCTTAACCATTCCTCACATCACATCTTCACAATAAATGGCTGGTATGATCTTGACAAATTACTTAGTCTGTGCCTTGGTTTCCTTATTTGTGAAATAGTGATAATGGTACCTATCTTGTAAGTGTATAGTGAGGACTGTGTTATTATACTTAAAATACAACATCTGGCTTATACATTCAGTAAATGTTAAGACACTTGTTATTTCTTATTACATACTTTCTCATCCACCTTGTCTCTTCATGAACCTGGTTGTCTCTCTTAAAGCAAAGCTGAATACAGTAGTAGGTGTGATCTGACCAGCCTAGGAAGAGTACAGTGGTTAATTCCTCCATTAATTTGGATTGAAGTTGAAGTTTTCTCTTTATAATTCATTGTGGAGAATTTCAAACATACAAAAAAAGTAGACCAGCTAGGATGATGGACCTCACATACCCATCCTCTTTCCCCAACAACATGGTCAGTCCTATCCATTCGCTTCATACAGTTTTCTCCTTCTCTGTTATACCTAAGTCCATGCCTGATTTGCTTTGATAATTACTAAAGCTTTTAGGATAGTGCCTTAATTCTCTTAGTAAATAATTATCAAATTAATGAACAAATGAGTCTTGCCTTGATTGATGTCTGGATCAGTTTCTAGTAGTTTGCATTTGGAGGTGAAGTGGATGGGTAGGTGGGAGGGATTGAAAATAGATTTGACTGTATCATACTGGTTTTTTAGATGTCACCCTAGTTTTTTATGATTCCATTTCTGCATAGGAATATAAATGGTAATCTTACTGGTAAAAAATCTCTGAGGACTCTAGGGGTGCCTGGGTGGCTCAGTTGTTAAGCGTCTGCCTTCGGCTCAGGTCATGATCCCAGGGTCCTGGGATTGAGCCCCGCATCGGGCTCCCTGCTCGGTGGGAAGCCTGCTTCTTCCTCTCCCACAGTGTCTCTTGTTGTCAAATAAATAAATAAAATCTTTAAAAAAAAAAAAAATCTCTGAGGACTCTACTCAAATGATTCAAGTTAGCTGGTCTAGAAGACTTGAGTTTACCACTTTCTTACAGTCTTTTCACTTATTCCGGACTTTAAGTCTTTTACCAGTGTTTATCGTGGGACTTCAATTTGTTAATTATTTTATCTTGATTAAAGAGAAGCAAATAGAGTTTGAAGAGTTCTGTTTTGTCATCTCTTTTGAAAAAATAATTTAAATACAGTAAAATTTGTTACAGTTTATTGGTTTCAAAGAGAGGCCTTTCTTCCCAGCATCAACAACTGACTACAGTGCTTTTTTTCAAGCCTGTGCTTATTTTTTCCATAACTGTGTTCTTACTTTTTCCTTATTAATTGTTATTGTGCTTTCAGCAGTTTGCTGAAAGTTTAATAGACTCATACTCATTTTTATATTAATGATACAGAAGTATGTAAGTCTTGCTTTAAACAGAGATCAGTCATAACGACACCATGACAAGTCTTTGGTTATTCAGCGGGGAAGGAGTTCTGGAGGTGAAGTATGCCAGTTAAGAGTATTGTAGAGAGGCTAGGTTCTCATACTTAGCTGACTATACCATCATCTTAAGATTGTGCCTTGGTGAGCCTGCCTCATGGAAATAGCTAGCACAGGCAGGGTTTGTGCACTCCATATACCTCACAGCAAATGGGGGCTTCGTGGAAGTGGGTTTAGACTTAACCTCTGTAACTTATCCAGGAGTGTTTTGGTAAGGTTCCTGCTTTCCAATTATGTTCTGGCTTTTAAATAAAAGTATCTTTAGCTTGAGAGGAGTCTTACCCTTCAGTGTTACTAGTTTTTACCTTAATTATTAACATTTCAAGAGCAAGAATAGGTATGTTATAGGCAGGGGCTGGAGAAGTGTCCTGATAGAGAAGGCCATGTTGCAATTATGCTGTGGCTGTGAACCTCAAAATTGCATTGTTTTACCTTTGAAATTTCTGCTAGTTTGCTGACTTCTGAACTTAAAAGATTCAGTATACTTTTTGATTGCACAAGACATGTCTGTTCATTTGTTCATTCAAAAATATTGATCATCTCTGTCCTGGGAAGTGTGCTGCACACTGGATAAACAAACAGTGAACTTCTCAGATGTGTTTGCCATTATGGAGTTTACAGTCTATTTGGGAAATGCAGTGAAATTTATTTGAAGCCATAAAGAAAAATTGTGTTTTACCTACACATTTAAGGACTTAACCACTTATTTTGAAGCGAACTTGGAATGACTTTTTTTTTCACTTCTTTTTGCAAAGTGTATTTGAACATTCAGGACTTTTGGGTTAACATATTCCCATATGTGCATTGATATTTGAAAATAGACATTAGAGAGGCAGGACAATCTGAATCAAAGAGAGAGAGATGAAGAGAATTAACTAGTACCATAGTGAGATTTCAGGATAATGGCAGATAGTAGGTTTGTGTGGGTAAAATTATATGTTGTGCTAAACAGACCTTTTAGGTAGGGAGTAAGTATCTTTAAGGCCTTTCTTCTTTAAAAATGTTCAATACTTAAGAATTGCTTGGAAAGTAAACTTCCTGTAGAGTGAAAGTATAATAGAGCAAATGAGAACCATGACGCCTAAAATCATGTCTTAATTATTGTACAGTTGGCTTAACTCTGGGTAAGAAAATGTACCTCGGATTCCTTATTCCAACAGAATACAACAGAGGGGCTGAATTTGCTTATCCCTCCTAGTGCTAAAACCTTATGATTTTATTTTATTTTTTATTTAACAGTTTCTTAATGACTTTGTTGGAAAGTCAAGATGCCTTCTTATTTTCTGTACTTACTCAGGTTCAAGAGTTAAAAACTTAAGATGGGGAAATAAGGCTTTGCTTTCTCTAACTGATATTTTCTGACTAGGTACTTCGTAACTCAGGAAGACCTCATTTATTCCCAGTAATATGTTTTACTAAACTCTTTCAGGTAACTTTAAAAAGACTGTGTGGCTTAATAGTAGATCATGGCTTGAACTCAGTTTTTATTTATTGTTGTTACTAGAAAATTTTAGTGAGGTATTTTTCTTTGTCTCTGTAGTTATCAGAGACTGTTACAGACGATTGCTGTACTTGAAGCTCAGCGTTCTCAAGCAGTCCAGGACCTTGAAAGTTTAGGCAAACACCAGAAAGAAGCACTAAAAAATCCCATTGGATTTGTGGAGAAACTCCAAAAGAAGGTATATATTGAGCACTTTTTAAGATTTATTGAAATATATTCATTAACAACTTGATTTATTCTTTTAATATGGGTATGTACTTTTTTAAATGTTTAATTTTTTCCCCCTCTAAACTAACCATACTACTGAAGGCAGGATACTTCCTTCCTAAGCATCCCTTGCCCCCCCCCCAAGAGAATATACTCCAATGAAAATAGCCGAGAGGTTTAATTGGATATTTATATTAGGAACTTGATGTTCCATTCCCTAGCCATTTTTAGGATCTTTTCCTGTTACCTTTCTCATCTTAGGTAAAAAGGAAAAGAGGGTTTTCCTTCTTCTTTCACAACTTCAGGATTAATAAAGCGAAAAGAAAAAATACTTCAGGATTTGTTAACTGCTTTAGTTTTGAGGTACTTTTGTAACTCTCCAAGTAGTGTGATAGAAAACATTGGTGATAAAAACAAAAACTATTTTAAATGTCTTTAAGGTTATGGTTGCCAAGTCCATGAAGAGGAAGTATAAATTTTAATGCCCTTGTAATGTCCTTTACTTTAGTGTAAAAATTCCCTTTAATTTTCTCTTTTCCTTAAAACAGAACTTTCATATTTAACAGTTAATCATTTGAAAGTGATTCATGTTTTTATAACTCTCTTGTATGTAAGTATGGATAATCTAGATGTGTATTTATACTGCAGTATGTATCTTGAATTAGGGACTCACAAATTTAATAAATTTGAGAGGCATAATACTAATCAACATTATGTGAAAACATTAAAACTGAGAAACTATGATAAAGAATCTTCTCCACCTTAAAAAACAAAACAATAACTTAGTATAGTTATTAGTTACCAATTTTTAATGAGTCACAAAAGTGGTTTACCAGGTGTTGAGGGAACAGCCCTGGGGACTTTGTTTCATCTAGTTGTATTAATTTATTATTTGGATTTTTTAAGCTATATTATTTACTTGGCAATCATTACTTTCTCATATCATAATGAATGTAGAATTTATATATTGATTTGCTAAGACTTCTAAACTTTTTAGGACCCTATTTACCCACTTTGTAGTCTGAGTCAACTTAGGTGTTTATTGATTCTGCATTGCCATTACTAAACATTTCTAGTGCAAAAAGATACAGTACTTATTATAGTGGTTACTTACAATTGATTCAACTAAAACAGGTGGTGATAGAAGAGTTAATATTAGTAAAAAAATTATTAACCTTGATCTTTATTCATGTTCTCTGGTGGGCAAAAAAGATGCAATTAGGCTTTTTTACTAGATTTATATGCAGTTGGTTATTTGCTAGTTCTCCATTTCCAGGTTTAGTTTAGAACTTAATTTCTTTTCACTTTATCTCAGAGATGTGATATTGGCCATCTTAACATTTTTAATCAAAATGTATGGAATTACATTAAATCTAGATACTTAGTAATCGTGAAAGACTTAATGTTCCTTGGAAAGAAATTTTTCAACTGGATTTAATTTAGAAGTTTGATTTTTCCATTTTGTGTATGTGTGTGTTTACTTATCTATACAGATATTTCAGCTTATGATGGGTTATGTCCCGATAAACCTGTCTTAAGTTGAAAATATTTTAAGTCGAAATGCACTTAATACACCTAACCTACTGAACATCACGTAGCTTAGCCTAGCTCACCATAAAGGTTCTCAGAACACTGAACATTAACCTACAGTTGGGCAAAATCATCTCACACAGAGCCTATTTTATAATGAAGTATTGACTATTTCATGTAATTCATTGAATACTACACTGAAAGTCAAAAAGGGGATGGTTGTACGGGTACAGAATAGTTGTCAGTGTCTAGATTTTCTATCCTTCTGATCCCGTGGCTCACCGGGTGCTGTGGCTCGTGGCTACTGCCCAGCAGCACGAGAGAGGATCGTACTACATACATCTCACTACCCTGGGGAGACATCACAATTCAAAATTTGAAGCATGGTTTCTACCATATGCGTCACTTTTGCACCATCGTAAAGTCAAAAAATCATAAGTTGAACCATCATAAGTTGGGTACCATCTGTACTTAATTGACTTATTTCTTTAGGTTTACTGTATTAGTTAAGTTGTTGACATGTGATCTGTTTGTTTTAGTGGACATTTAAAAACTCCTAATTGAAATTAAGGAGACTTGTGGTATATACTGGCATATAGAATGCAAGGAACTTTTTTTTTTTTAAGATTTTATTTATTTGGCACAGAGAGAGAGATATATAGCAAGAGCAGGAATACAAGCAGGGGGAGTGGCAGAGGGAGAAGCAGGCTTCCCGCAGAGCAGGGAGCCCAATGTGGGACTCAATCCCAGGACCCTGGGACCATGACCTGAGCCGAAGGCAGACGCTTCACAACTGAGCCACCCAGGCGCCCCAAGAATGCAAGGAACATGGCTTATTAGCTTCCTTTGATATTACTGTCATTATTTTAAAGGCCCCTCTAATTCTACAAAAGTTGAGCCTTAGACTAACGTGTACTAGTATGATGATGGTGATAATGTAATATTTCATAAGCAAAATAAAAATTAAGAATTCTGGGGGCGCCTGCCTGGCTCAGTCAGTTAAGTGCTGCCTTCAGCTCGGGTCGTGATCCCAGGGTCCTGGTGTCGTGCTCCCTGCTCAGTGAGGAGTCTGCTTCTCCCTCTCCCTCAGCCTGCTGCTTCCCCTGCTTGTGCTCTCTCTCTCTGCAATAAATAAATAACATCTTTTTTTTTTTTTAAGATTTTTTTAATTTATTTGACAGAGACACAGTGAGAGAGGGAACACAAGCAGGGGGAGTGGGAGAGGGAGAAGCAGGCTTCCCGCTGAGCAGGGAGCCCGATGCGGGGCTTGATCCTAAGACCCTGGGATCGTGACCTGAGCCAAAAGCAGACGCTTAACAACTGAGCCACCCAGGCGCCCCAATAAATAAAATCTTAAAAAAAAAAAAAAACCAAAAAACTGTGTCAAACAGGATTTTGCTTGCCAGTTTCATAGTTTATGACCTGATGTTTTTCTCAACATTTTACTATGGAAAATGTTAAGTACACAGAAGAATTGGAAGTATTGTATAGTTAACACACACATATTCACTGCTAGGTTCTACAATTAACATTTTACTATATTTGCTTTATCATGTATGACTCAATCCTTCATTCCATCTTATTTCAAGAATGAATTTCAAAGTGGCAGACATGAACACTTTACACCAAAACACTTCAGGATGCATATTACTACCTTTTAAATTCTTTTTTAAAACTTTTTTAACGTGAGATTTCCACACAGTGAAATTCAGAAATTCTAATTGTACCATTCTATGAGTTCTGACAAAAAACATACACGTATGTAACCCAAATCCCTATCAAAAGATATTTTGATTATAATGATCTGGTTTTAGTAATTATGACAACTAATGACTTCTCTAAAGGTAGTTGGTTAAGTAACTGAATTCCAAGTAGATTAAATGTGTAGTTTTGATTCTCAAGGTGTCATAATTTTTGTATATATGATAAGAATTATATGTGGTGAAAATAATTCATTGTTTTATGAATAAGTCATGAACTTAGGGGTATATTTAAAATGAATTCTGAGGGCGCCTGGGTGGCTCAGTCGTTAAGCGTGTGCCTTTGGCTCAGGTCATGATCCCAGGGTCCTGGGATCGAGCCCCACATCGGACTCCCTGCTCAGCGGGAAGCCTGCTTTTCCCTCTCCCACTCCCCCCGCTTGTGTTCCCTCTCTCGCTGTGTCTCTCTCTGTCAAATAAATAAATAAAATCTTTAAAAATAAATAAAATGAACTCTGTGTATCGGATCTCATCTTTTTCAATAAAACACATTTCATATGCTGTTCTTAAAGATAAAAACCTTTCTGGGGGCGCCTGGGTGGCTCAGTCGTTAAGCATCTGCCTTTGGCTCGGGTCATGATCCCAGGGTCCTGGGATTGAGCCCCACATCGGGCTCCCTGCTCGGCGGGAAGCCTGCTTCTCCCTCTCCCACTCCGCCTGCTTGTGTTTCCTCTCTCGCTATCTCTCTCTGTCAAATAAATAAATAAATAAAATCTTAAAAAAAAAAGATAAAAACCTTTCTTAGTTTTGTTATTTATGTTTAAAGTGTATTAGTGATAAAGTACAATATGTCTATATAGTTCAGCTTTAGAGCTATATCTAAAAATAGTGCTTTGTCTTATTAAATTCATTCTTCCTCTACTTGATATCATTTTACTATTTAACGTTTAGACTATATTAACTTTATTGGCTCTTGGATTTAAACAGTGAACAGAAATGCCTAGTTGATGGTAATTTGGATTTGGAGTCCTCTGAAAATTTGGCTGTGGTAGATAATTTTTTGGATTAAATTTAGACTGTCACTTTATTTTTTTTTCTCCCAGGCTGATATAGGGCTTCCATATCCACAGAGAGTTGTTCAGTTGCCCGAGATTGTATGGGACCAATATACCAATAGCCTTGGGAACTTTGAAAGAGAATTTAAAAATCGTAAAAGACATACTAGGAGAGTTAAGCTTGTTTTCGATAAAGGTAAGAAATTACATGATAAGAATTTAAATAGAGAAATATCTGGCAGTCTTGCTTTAATAATCCTATACATGGTCTTCTCTTTAGTAGGTTTACCTGCTAGACCAAAAAGTCCTTTAGATCCTAAGAAGGATGGAGAGTCCCTTTCATATTCTATGTTGCCTTTGAGTGATGGTCCCGAAGGCTCAAACAGTCGTCCTCAGGTAAACAGTATAAAGCTTTGGAGCAGGAAAATTTGAACTATAGACAAAATATTTTAACATTTCCTGGTTTGTATTCTTAAAATTTAAGCAGTCTTTCACTGAAGATAGTGGGGACATGAACTTGATGTTAAGAGAAATCTGGGTTGGAATCCCAGCTCTACCACTTACTAGCTGTGGAATGTCAGATGTCATTTATATTAAAGCCTCCAAACTGCAGTTTCCTTTTATATGAAATGTGATATTACCTGTGTTGTAGAGTTGTGTGAAGATTAAACGAGTAGTACATGTAACATGCCCCTTACATTGTGTGACATGTACTCTTTATTCTAAAAATAAGAGGTCTGTGCAGTGTAATTTAACCAGGATTTGAGTCCTGGCCACTAGTAGTTAGATGAACCTTAATAGACATGTGGGTTCAGAATGGAAAAGTAACATTTCCTTTTCTTTAAGATGAAGTTGCTGTCATCCATGTTACAGGATTGCTAGGAGTATAAAAACTAAAGGAGTGTGAAAACATTTTGTAAATAATAAAAAAAGTATGCATTAAATAAATAATTTACTGAAATATTTTGAAATTAACAAAAAATTCCACAATATGGGGGCACCTGGGTGGCTTAGTTGGTTAAGCATCTGCCTTCAACTCAGATCATGATCCCACAGTCCTGGGATTGAGCCCCCCATTGGGCTCCCTGCTCAGTAGGTAGCCTGCTTCTCCCTCTCCCTCTGCTGCTCCCCCTGCTTGTGCCTTCTCTCTCTCTCAAATAAATAAACAAAATCTTAAAAAAAAAAATCCCACAATATGTGTTTTATTTTGCTACGTCAAATGGTAGTCTTTATTATTTTTGACAGAGGCCCTATTTTATATGCAGATGATAAGAGGACGCCTTTGTGATGATACCAAACCTGAAACATTTAACCAACTGTGGACTGTTGAAGAACAGGTAATATTTCTAAATTGTGTATGTTAAAGAAAAAAGATTCAGATTAGAGTCAGTATTATGACTAAGTGTATATTGTTGTAGATGATTCCTCTTAACTAAGAACTGAAAATATTAAACTTATTTTTGTATGGTTTTTTGCACACTTCAGGAATTTTGGATTTCGAGAATATATGAATTCCAGTTTGGGAATGGTTTTTAAAGAAGAAATCTGGGTTATAGGAAGGGGATTGAAAAAGATAGTGAAATGGGTGGAATAAAGTGTTTGTAATACAGCTTTGGAAGAGAAAAACCTGGGGACAAGTAAAGCAGTGCCTCAGAATGAGTTCTTGTTTTTGTTATGGAGGGGACCTGACAAAGCCACGCCAGAGTATTGTTACGGTTTGGCATATGGCTAGGATTATTCATGGGTAGGGTTTGAGACACATCTCTGTTTCATATGAGGATTAACCCCAGAGCTATAATGAGTTCAGTATTTATGAAAAGCTTTAGGAAATTCATTTCAAGCATCCAAATTATTCTGCATCTTTAGAACTGTGGGACAATTTAGGGGATAGGTAAGAATTTAAAAATCAAGTATTTGAATGGAAGACCACACAAAGGAAGGAAAAGTCTCTTAAATATTGTCTAAATCCGAATGAATTTAGATGTTTTTGTCAAATCTATAGGAGCAAGCCCATACATAGTCTAGCAAGAAAAGATTGTCAATGGAAATTACTAAGATGTGTAAAGTATTATTAATTAAAATTTGGGGGGGCGGTGCTATGTTTTTACTTAAGCGAATAGAAAATCTTACAAGGTTTTCCATAGGTTTATTCTCTAATCTCATTTTTCCTGTGAAGTCTTAAGTTCCTTACTAGAAATTTTTCCTACTATGAGGATTTCTAGTGACCTAGCCCCCAAAGTTGGGGAGGGAGATAATTTAAAAAGAAGTGTGAATGTATTTATTCATTTATGTAGATGTATTTATTTATGAAACTCAGTATTAAACTTTCTTAAATTTGGTGTTCGGTTTGTCTTAGAAAAAGCTTGAACAGCTACTCCTGAAATACCCTCCTGAAGAAGTAGAATCTCGACGCTGGCAGAAGATAGCAGATGAACTGGGCAATAGGACAGCCAAACAGGTCATAGAGGAGATGGCCCCATATTGTTGGCATGTTTTTGATAGTTTTTTAATGAAGGATAATGCCACTAACATCAAATCTGCTATATCATTTTTAGCTACATAGTACTATAATATGTGGTTTTTTGTTTTGTTTTGTTTTTAACGTATATTTTCTGTTGATTTCTGAAACAACTTGAGATAATTCTGCTTTTAATCATTACTGAAAAATAAGAATGTACTTAGTGTCTGTTGAATGTTTAGTGAGTGCACCAGGTTGTGTACTTTTTGGTTAGACTGTGCTAATAGATTTGTGACATACTTAGGAAGTATTCTCTGGTTGTCTTAAAAAAAAAAAAAAATCTAGCAGTTTTCTTCATGTTACCATTGAGATTAATAGATGTGTTTTTAATAGTATAAGCATGAGCATTCATTAGTTGAAAATATGTATTTAGCTTTGGAGTCAAACACATTTCCTGTATTTATGATAAATTTTAAATTATTAGTATTCATTAAGATACACAAGTGTATATATATTTTTAATTTTATTATGTTATGTTAGTCACCATACAATACATCATTAGTTTTTGATGTAGTGATCCATGATCCATTGTTTTTGTATAACACCCAGTGCTTCATGCAGTACATGCCCTCCTTAATACCCATCACCAGGCTAACCTACCCCCCCACCCCCCTCCCCTCTAGAACCCTCAGTTTGTTTCTCAGAGTCCATAGTCTCTCATGGTTCATCTCCCCCTCCGATTTCCCTCCCTTCGTCTTTCCCTTCCATCTCCTAATGTCCTCCATGCTATTTCTTATGTTCCACAAATAAGTGAAACCATATGATAATTGACTTTTTCTGCTTGATTTATTTCACTTAGCATAATCTCTTTCAGTCCCATCCATGTTGATGTAAAAGTTGGGTATTCATCCTTTCTGATGACTGAGTAATATTCCATTGTATATATGGACCACATCTTCTTTAGCCATTCATCTGTTGAAGGGCATCTCTGCTCTTTCCACAGTTTGGCTATTGTGGACATTGCTGCTATGAACATTGGGATGCATATGGCCCTTCTTTTCACTACATCTGTGTCTTTGGGGTAAATACCCAGGAGGGCAATTGCTGGGTCATAGGGTAGCTCTATTTTTAAATTTTTGAGGCACCTCCACACTGTTTTCCATAGTGGCTGTACCAACTTGCATTCCCACCAACAGTGTAAGAGGGTTCCCCTTTCTCCACAACCTCTCCAACATTTGTTGTTTCTTTCCCTGTCCATTTTTACCATTCTAACTGGTGTAAGGTGAAGATACACAGGTATATTTTAATTTAAAAAAAATTATTCAGGTATTGCATGTCTTGTAATTATGTTAAATGGTTTGTCATATTTCCTTAGGTTGCCAGCCGAGTGCAGAAATATTTCATAAAACTAACTAAAGCTGGCATTCCAGTCCCAGGCAGAACACCAAACTTATATATATACTCCAAAAAGGTAAAAAGAAAATAGAAAAGTAAACTTTAGACCTTAGATTAAACATATCAGAGTCAGAATTGCTATGTAAAAGTGTATACATTTATCAAAACAAAGTTGTTTTATATTTAAAATCTGACTTACTCTAATCATTTTGTTATACTGGGCATGGACACAGGATAGGATTCCATTGTTGCTACTCCATGAAATTGAATGATCTTTATGTTCTTTATTTTCTTAGGGATAGGTTAGTTTATATGAATGGGTGCTTGAAAGATGTAGATTGAATGTATATCAGAAAGGCCTTTGTGATGTTAAAAATTTTAGGGTGTTTGACTCTTCAACAAACATAATCAGTTTCTGTTTTTCGATATGCTACATAAATCCAAAAATAGGAATATTTATTAAAATACATTATTTAATCCTCACTATAATTCTAGAAGTGTAGGTAGTGTTATCACTTTCACTTTACTACTAATAATATTAATAGCTAGCTTTTATTCTTATTATTGAATGCTTTATGTCAGGTACTGCTCTAGATCCTTTTTTTTTTTTCTTTTTAAGAAGGGGGAGAGGGCGCCTGGGTGGCTCAGTTGGTTGAGCAGCTGCCTTCAGCTCGGGTCATAATCCTGGAGTCCCGGGATCGAGTCCCGCATCGGGCTTCCTGCTCAGCAGGGAGTCTGCTTCTCCCTCTGACCCTCTTCCCTCTCGTGCTTTCTATCTCTCATTCTCTCTCTCTCTCTCAAATAAATAAATAAAGTCTTAAAAAAAAAGGGCGGGGGGAGAAGGGAAGAAGGGAGGTTGGGGTATAGGGGGAGGGAGAGAGGGAGGATCCCAAGCAGGTTCCATGCCCAGCATGGAGCCTGATGGGGTTGGGGTCGATCCCATGATCCTGAGATCGTGACCTGAGCTGAAAGGAAGAGTCGGACACTTAACTGACTAAGCCACCCAGGCACCCCTGCAGCATTTTTGTAGATGAGAAAACTAGACCTTGGGGGACCTGGCTGGCTCAGTAGATAGAGTATGTGACTTGATTGCAGGGTTGTGAGTTCGAGCCCTTTGTTAGGTGTAGAGATTACTGAAAAATACAGCCTTAAACAAAAATACCCCAGCAAAGTGGCCTTAAGGTAAATGGAGTCAGTTGTCCAGTCATATAGCTATTAAGTCTGAGAACCACTGACCTCTGATTCTGATCCCAGGCCTTTTCCACTATTCTCTGCTGCTTTTTACAGTGAAAAAGCTATTATCGTTTTCCTACATAGACCACTGCATCAAATTATAGCCAATTTTTTCCTTTAATTGCAAAAACTAAAGCACACAATTGGCCTCTTTCCTGTCTTTAGTAAATCATCCTGATATTTCCTCTCCACCAACACTGCCACCTTTCACATAAGAAACTAAGAGCATATCTAATGCTGTTACCCATCCTTATTGAAGCTTCCTTACTGTTTTAAGTGGTTTTACATTAGGAATATTGTCTCTACAGCTCCATGTTTTACAAGTTTTGTTTTTCAGCTTTTTACCTAGCTTTGGAACCTTGTTTTACTTTGTCAGTTGATTTAAATATCTTGAATCCCCCCCCCAAATATAGCATTACTTATATCAAATATGTAGAGTTCATCCTATAACTTTGGAATGTTGGAACCTTAATATTTAATTTAAGAGCTCTAATTTTCATGGTTAATTTCCAAGTTAACTTTAGATGTGTTGGGCACCTTATATTTTCACAGCTAAGACTAGTAATGATAACAAAGGAATACTAAAGAAACCTAAATGTGTTCCCTCCTTTGGGTGCACTGAATTTTAAGTTAGTATTTCGACTATAGTGGTCTAGCCCACCCGCTGACACAGTGATTCTTTGTCATGGTTAGAGTTTGAATCTTGAAACATGAACTGATGATTCTGCCTGTAGCTGTGGCTGTACTGTCTATGAAGAGAGGCAGTCTACAGGTTTTTGAGAGTGAGGGCTTTGGTCCCACACAGGCTTAGTTTGTAATCTTGGTTCTACCACTATCTAACTGCAGCACCCTGAACCAGAAACTTAACCTCCATCTTTAAATTAGAGGTGATAGTAACTATTTCATAGGAATGTTGTGAGGATTAAATGACATTGACATACAGTAAACAGTCAGTCAGTGTTAGGTAATATTTTTAGACATTCATCATGTTGTGGAAGGTCTTTTTACTTGATTGTTTCTATCTGGCTTAGGCTACTTCATCCTCCCTGATCTTCTATAAGATGACTGTAAGAGGAGTGCTCAGCATTTGAATATCAAGAGTGTGATCAATGCTAGGGATCCAAATACAAGCTAGATAGCATGTGATCCATTGTACTGTTGTTGGGATACTCCCCCTACATTTTTTTTTAATCTAGTTGTGCTTTAAAATTCCAGGTAATATAGGAAAAACAACCACATAAGACTATGCTGAGGGGTAGAGCTGAAATCCTTTCAATAGATAGACTTGGAGGGAAGTAATAGTTTTATTTGAGTATCTTTGATTCTTTGAATGATTATCCAGTGTCTCAATTAAAAATTTGTTTTCTCACTTAGTCTTCAACAAGCAGACGACAGCACCCCCTTAATAAGCATCTCTTTAAACCTTCCACTTTCATGACTTCCCATGAACCACCAGTATATATGGATGAAGATGATGACCGATCCTGTTTTCATAGCCACATGAACACTGCTATTGAAGAAGCATCAGTAAGTTACCTATTTATATAAAAACACATTTATCTATGTGTTATACAGATCAGGGTACAGAATGAGAGCATCAGAATTTTAAAATTATTCCTACTCTTCAGAGAATGTTGGTTTCTTTTAATTACCAGTCAAATTTATGGGCTTTATAAAAAACAATATATTGTTAAAAACAAAAACAATACATTGTTAAATTGTTATATATTAATAGTATATATCATTATATCATTATATACTTATATATAACATGCAAATGAGAGGAAACTTAAAAACATGCAAAAATAGAATAATAAAATGAATTATATATATAATAAAAGAAATTTTTTAAACATATGCAAATATAGAGTAGTATAATGAACCCACATGCACCTGTCATCCAACTTCAATAGTTAACAACTTGTTGCAATTTTTTATTTTAATCTGTACTTCTTACCCACCTCATATTCATCCTGAGTTATTTTGGAGCAAGTCTCAGACATAACAGAGTTATTATTATCATGTTTATGAAAAGGTAATTCTTTATACAATCAAACATATGCTCAGTTCACGTTTCCCCAATCATAAATTGCAATAGATTTCCTCCTTTCCTCCTTCCCTTCCCATCCTCCTTTTCTCCTCTTACAACTTTTTTGTTGAAAAATTGGGTCATTAGAATTTAGCACTGTGTGTATTTTGTTTGCTTCTCCTTGGTGTCAGTTATTCTGTCTTCTGTTGCCTGAATTTTCTGTAAATTGATAGTAGGTCTAGATAATTGGTATCACTTAGAAGTTCCGTTTTTCTGCTCCCTGAATTTTCTGTAAATTGAAAGTAGGTCTAGATAACTGACCAGATTCAGATTTGTTTTTTGCTTTTTTTTTTAAGATTTATTTGAGAGAGCGAGCAAGCATGCATGGGGTGTAGGAGCAGAGTGGGACAGAGAGATTTTTAAGCAGACCCCGTGCTGACTGTGGAGCCTGATGTGGGGCTCGATCTCACGACCCTGAGATCACAACCTGAGCTGAAACCAAGAGTCAGACTCTTTTTTTTTTTTTAAGATTTTATTTATTTGAGAGAGAAAGAGAGTACAAGCCAGGGGAAGGGCAGAGGAAGAGGGAGAAGCGGACTCCCCTCTGAACAGGGAGCCGGTGGCAGGGTTCTATCCCAGGACCCTGAGGTCATGACCTGAACCAAAGGCAGATGCTTAACTGACTGAGCCACCCAGGTGCCCCAAGAGTCAGACTCTTTTAATAGATCACACCACCCAGATTTGTTTGTTAGGGTGAGCAGGACTACTTCATGTGCACTTTCATCAATCTGTCTTTTTTTTTTTTTTTTTTTTTACATAGTAGCTGTTGATCATTGCCTGGGTTCATTAATTCATTCGATGTTACAAAATAGTGCTATTCCTTCATTTCTTCATTATTTTTTTGATAGAGTATTCTGTGAAGTAACCCCCTCTTCATCAACTATTTGATTACCTGAAGGTACATATGGAAAAGGCAGTATAAGTGCTTGATTGTTCCCCTTATTTTCTTATTTTTAAAATGGTTGAGGGGCACCTGGGTGATGCAGTTGGTTAAGCATCCGACTCTTGATCTTAAGCTCAGGTCTTAATCCCAGGGTTGTGAGTTCAAGTCCCATGTTGGGCTCCACGCTGGGTGTGGAGCCTACTTTAAAAAAAAAAAAAGTACTTTATTTAGATTTGGAGTTTAAGTGAAAGAACTCTAAAGAAGTGCTAGTCAAGTTGGCATTAAAGGATGAACAAAATTTAGCCAGGTGAGGGGTAGATTAATACATGTAGTAGATTGAATTTGATTTAACTTTTGTTTGGTTGATTTAATTTATTTATTTTTAAATGAGCACCAGTTTAAATCATTCTGATTATTCAAATGTATATTCATGAAGCCACTAGTGGTAAAATTTACAGATTTCAGTTTCTCTTCAGAAAAGCAATATCTAGGGGCGCCTGGGTGGCTCAGTTGGTTAAGCGGCTGCCTTCGGCCCAGGTCATGATCCCAGGGTTTTTAAATAAAGATTTAAAAAAAAAAAGAAAAGCAATATCTAGAGAGAGGATATGATTACATGTATATACTTCCATACAGTTTTAAAATCTGTATACCATTTTAGCCTCATTTGAAATTAGTCATAGTATTTCCCCTTTAAGTAAACTTGAAAACTGATTATAACAAGGAACTCTGTTTATGGGTATTTAAAAAAAATTTTGTGATAAATACATATAACCTTAAATTTACCATCTTAACTGGTTTTTAGGTGTATAGATCAGTAGTGTTAAGTACATTCACATTTTTTTTTAAGATTTTATTTATTTATTTGACAGAGAGATAGCACAAGTAGGCAGAGTGGCAGGCAGAGGGAGAGGGAGAAGCAGCCTCTCTGCTGAGCAGGGAGCCAGACATGGGGCTTGATCCCAGGACCCCAGGATCATGACCTGAGCCGAAGGCGGCCACTTAACCTACTGAGTCACCCAGGTGCCTCTACATTCACATTTTTGTGCAACCAGTCCCCAGAACTCTTTAATTCCTGGAAAACTGAAACTCTGAACCATTTAACAGCATCTCCCCATTGCCTCCTGCTTCCAGCCCCTGGCAGCTACCATTCTACTTTGTTTCTGTGAATTTGGCTACTCTGGGTACCTCATATAAGTGGAATCATGCAGGTTTTGCCCTTTCTTGACTGGCTTATATCTCTTAACATAATGTATTCAAGATTCATCCATCTTGTAACATGTATAACTATTTCCTTCCTTTTTAAAGCTGAATAACATTTCGTGGTATATATATACTACATTTTGTTTATTGGCTCATCTTTCAGTGGATGCGGTTTGCTTTCACCTTTTGGCTATTGTGAATAATCCTACCATGAATGTAGGTGTACAAATACCTGTTCGAGTCCCTGCATTCAGTTCTTTTGGGTATATACCCAGAAGTGAAATTGCTGGATCCATATGTTAATTCTACGTTCAATTTTTGAGGAACCGCCATACTGTTTTCTGCAGTGGCCACAACAATTTACTTACTCACCAATAGTGCACAAGGGTTTCAGTTTCTCTACATCCTTGTCAACACTTGTTACTTTGTTTTTTTTTTCTTTTGATAGTAGCCATCCTGCTGGTTGTGAGGTGATTTAACTTTTCTTAGTCTTGTTGACCAAATTTAATAGTATCCTTAGACCTAAAATGCAAATTAAAAAATTTGGCAGCATTTTTACTCTGTAGTAGCTTAAAATATATCTGAATTTAATAAATTTCATTATAAAATTTCTTACCCCATTATTTAGTTAGGCCACATTGTATTTATTAGTGTTACATATTTATTACATTACTTATTTTCTCATTCTCTGTGCTGACGTAGGAAGGCAGTAGCTATAATTTAACATCTTTAATTGACAAGAACTTGAAATGGGTGAAAGATAGTGTGAGATGAGGTAGGTGAAATGTGAGATTGTAAAGAACCTTTTGTTAGCTGAAGACTTTGGACTTGTCTCTGTAGACAGGAAGCCATTGGGAGATTTTAAGCCATTGTGGGGCTTGAGGAAGGACTGGATACTTTAGAGGGGCAATTTGAAAGATTTTATCATTTTTTTTTTAAGATTTTATTTATTTATTTGACAGAGAACAAGCAGGGGGAGTGGCAGGGAGAGGGAGAAGCAGGCCCCCGATGGAGCAGGGAACCCAATGTGGGGCTCGATCCCAGGACCTCAGGTCTCGTGGACCTGAGCCGAAGGCAGATGGCTAATGACTGTGCCACCCAGGCGTCCCTGTGTCAGTATTTCTTATACTTAGTTCATTTTAATTATCAAACATTTTTATTTTCTGTTTTATTCTTTATTAGGATGAAGAAAGTATTCCTATCATGTATAGGAATTTACCTGAATATAAGGAACTATTACAATTTAAAAAGTTAAAGAAGCAGAAACTCCAGCAGATGCAAGCTGAAAGTGGATTTGTACAACATGTGGGCTTCAAGGTAAATTTTACTGTTTATTCAGTTTTTGAAAGGGTGATAAGAGATATTTAAGGTAGTTTCTGGAGCTTTAACTTCCAGACTTCCCAGCACACAGATAAAAGTAAGTTTAGTTCTAGTCCTGTTCATTTAACTATAGTGTGCTACACGTACTGATGTTAATAGGTTTATGACTCAGTGGAATGAAGACAAACATAGACATCTGTATTTTGAGGTAAAATATGAGATGTTTTTGTCTAGCTATTTCTCTTTCTTACTCCCACCTTTACTGAGATATAACTGACAAAAATTTTATATATTTAAGGTATACACAATTTTAAGGTACAAAAATATCACCTCACATAGATACCTTTTTTGTATGTGTGTGGTGACAACACTTGTGATGGACTCTCTTAGCCAATTCCAAGTCTACAGTACTGTATTATTAATCCCATGCTGTACGTTAGATCTCCAGAACTTACTTAGAATTGAAAATTTGTATCATTTGACTAACATCTCCCCATTTCTTCCACCTCCCAGCCCCTGGCAACCACCATTCTACTCTCTGCTTCTATGAGTTTCGAGGTTTTTGTTTTCATATATAAGTGAGATCGTGTAGCACCTGTTCCTTTCTCTGTGGTTTATTTTACTTAGCATAATGTCCTCTACTCTCTCATCCATGTTGTCACAAATGGCAGGATTTCTGTTTTATGGCTGAATAATATTCCATTGTGTATGTGTGACATTTTCTTTATCCTTTCTTCCATCAGAGCTATTTCTCTTTTTGTTGTTGTTGTTCATAGATGAGAAATTTCTTTTCCCCTTCCAGGCTAGTAGAAGTACATCCATTCATTCCAGCAAATTTTGAAATACCCATTATGTTCCAGGCACTTTGCTTAAGTGCTAGGGATTCAGTAGTAAACAAGATGGACTCAGTTTCTGTCCTTACTCTGTTTTCATCTCATAAGGAATTTAGTTACGTTAGTAAAATAGTTGACTATGCCTAGAGAACATACTGAAGAGTAGTGAGGCTATTGAGGTGCCTTGGAAATTGCTGAGGAGTTTAAACTTTCCTTAAAGGTTGGGGAATCACTGAAGGAGTTTAAGCAGAGAGTAATATGAAATTTGCACTATAGAAATATCATTCCTGTTACTTATACTGTTAGTATTGACAATCTTTGGGAAGGCAGGGGGGTTAGAGTGGATAATTTCTGAGCACTATATTGTTAAATTCTATAAACTAATGTATTCATGTATGTTACTTAAAAAAGAATTAAAAAAATATGTAATTAAAAAAAATTAAGTGATGGAGAAGATCATTCTGGACATAGTATGGAGAATGGATAAGAAGAAATCAAGGCTGGAGGCAGGGAGACTGGTTAGAGACTCTTGGTAATTCAGACAAAAAATGAGAATGTCCCAGACTTGATTGGTGGCTGTGGAAATCGAGAGAGATTGACAAGTTTAAGAACACTTTGGGCTTTAGAATTGACTGTATTTGGTGAGATTGGAGGAAGCATTTCTAAAATGAGACCAGGAACTATAGAGTTGCTGGTAGTGGTTACATAAACATACTGATATGTGCTGTGACTGATATACAGAAACTTAAAATTATTATACCTCTGAACCTCTAGTATGCCCATTAGCCAGACTGTATTAAATGATTTTTCTTCCTGGTCTTTCCATAACCCTGCTTCTCCATTAGAAATTTTCCCAGTTGTTATCTCTGGCCTTTCCAGAGGAAATGCTCCACTTCTCAAAATTTTGCTGTAAGACCCATCTGTGGCTTGTTTACTAATCTGTCAGCCACTCTAGTTGGCCTGATGATCCAAGAAACTAGAAATGAGATTTATTTCCAAAATCGCCCAGGAGAGACTGAGGGCTACCACACTGGGAAGGATGCCATCACACTGGGAAGAAGCTAGATCTGCCTTTTCTTTATGATGGGCATTGGTTATTAGGATCCTTCAGGCTTTGGAGAGTAATTCAGTAAGATAAAAGTGTAGAGAGGATTTGTGTTTACCTGGGTTCACTTAGTGATAACTTGTTCAATAGTTCTGTAATTTATTTGTATAGTTTTAACTGGTATCGAGTCAGTGGTTTTCATTCACAGTCTGAGGTCCGTTTAAGGTAAACAGTTATTAATAAAATGTCCAGATTTGCAGGTGATTACTTAAAGTTTTAAAAAATGAATTAAAGAGTACACTTCTCATGATGAGCACTGAATAATGTACAGAATTGTTGCATCACTATATTGTATATCTGAAACTAATAAAACACTGTAACTATACTGGAATTAAAATAAAAAATTCCAAAAAGTAAATGAAAGCATATTCAAGGTTATCCCTAGTTTATTATAACGTACCTCTCACCCACCTGTACTTCCATCTTGAATGGATGGAATTTCGGCTAATTTGCTAGAAATTGTATCTGACTTAACGATTTTCATGTTACACTGCTGTCTAGTGCATGGGGAGAGGAGAGGATGTTTTTGTGCACATTGTGTTTCCCATCAGGAAAAAAAGGTTTCGGAACAATGTGTGTAGCTTTTTAAAAATTTTTTATTTATTTTATTTTATTTTTTTAAAGATTTTATTTATTTATTTGACAGAGAGAGACACAGCGAGAGAGGGAACACAAGCAGGGGGAGTGGACGAGGGAGAAGCCGGCTTCCCGCAGAGGAGGGAGCCCGATGCAGGGCTCGATCCCAGGACCCTGGGATCATGACCTGAGCCAAAGGCAGATGCTTAACAACTGAGCCACCCAGGTGCCCCCACTGTGTGTAGCTTAATATTTTTTCTCTCTGAAACTTTTACAGTGTGATAACTGTGGCGTAGAACCTATCCAGGGTGTTCGGTGGCACTGCCAGGATTGTCCTCCAGAAATGTCATTGGATTTCTGTGATTCTTGTTCAGACTGGTAAGTGTTTTCTTCATTGTAGGTCTCACATTTTGACAAGTAAAGAGCTTCACAGCCACTAGTGAATTTGATTTCCAAACTACTTAGAGAATGACCACAATTAGTGAATTAAACTTGTTGTTCTGGGCAATTAAATTTTAATTATACCACATCTCAAGTAACTTTCCATTAGAGATTTTGATAGATTAATGGATTTGAATAGGTAGAGCTGTGAGGAAGTTTTGTAATGTCTAGACAAAAATGCATCCAGTGCCATGTAATGATATGTATATGTGTGTTTTTTTTTTCTTTGCAGCCTACATGAAACAGATATTCACAAGGAAGATCACCAGTTAGAACCTGTTTATAGGTCAGAGACGTTCTTAGACAGAGACTACTGTGTGTCACAGGGCACCAGTTATAATTACCTTGACCCAAACTACTTTCCAGCAAACAGATGACATGGAAGAGAATATCATATACTAGTCCTCTTCAACACATAGCAATGGTATCATTGTGAATTATGTGCACAGTTTGGAAAGATTCTCTGCTTTCCCTGAAATGACACTCACAGCATGACAGCTTCCTGAGTGTTCTCGTCAAGTCCAGCTCTGCACCGTTGTGGCTCTAGATCACTGTTCAGCAGCTGAACATTCCTGGTGAGCAAAGGGTTTCCCTGGTGAATTTCTCACCACCACCCTAAAGCCTTTTAGGTGGTGATCTTAAATGGGTGAGATGGAAACGAGAGCACACATTAAAGAGAGAGTAAATTCCAAAGGTTTCAAAGAACTCGGTCATAAATAGGATAATGAGAAGACAAAGTATTTATCTTAAAACAGTTTAGTAGCTTTCAGTTTTGTGAAAATAGTTTTCGGCACAGAAGCTGACTTCTTAGACAAAGTTTTAACCAATGATGGTTTTGCTTCTAGGATATACACTTAAAAAGAACTCACTGTCCCAGTGGTGGCCACTGATGATGGCCTTTAGTAAATCGGAGCTGCTTAACCATATTGATGTCTAATTTCTTTTAACCACAATGAACTGTCCTTCTTACCAACAGCGAAGCACTACAGGAGGCCGCTGTGGCATTGCTTCCTTGACCAGCTCATGGTGTGTGAATGTTATACAATTGTCACTCAGATATATTTTTTAAATGTAATGTTATATAAGATGATCATGTGATGTGTACAAACTATGGTGAAAAGTGCCAGTGGTAGTAACTGTGTAAAGTCTCTAATTCACAACATTAATTCCTTTAAAATACACAGCCTTCTGCCTCTGTATTTGGAGTTGTCAGTGCAACTCATCAAAGAAAACTGCCTAATATAAAAATCATATATATGGTAATAATTTCCCTCTTTTGTAGTCTGCACAAGATCCATAAAAGATTGTATTTTTATTACTATTTAAACAAGTGATTAAATTTAGTCTGCGCAGTGAGCAAGAGTTCACATGCATTCTTTTATACTGCTGGATTTTGTTGTGCATCATTTAAAACATTTTGTATGTTTCTTCTTATCTGTGTATACAGTATGTTCTTGAATAATGTTCATTTGTCAGGAGAACTGTGAGAAATAAACTATGTGGATACTGTCTGTTTATATTATAGAATGCTTGTTGTGAGTTCCTTTTGGTTAGATTTTGGAGTTTTTTTACTAGTGTTAAAACAAAAAAATTCTTTTCAAGGGGTTACTTTACCTTTTTGTCTTTTAAAAAAAGAGTAAGGACTATAATATTATGGAAATGGGTTGAATGTGAGAAGCTCTGGAAAGATGGTTATGTTTTCAACTCAGTGTGTGCTGAGACACTAAATTAAACTGGGTTACAAAAAGAACACACACCATGGTTAAAGAAGGCGGCTATTATTAATGTCCAGATGTGAAAACTATACTTAGGCTGAAAATTTTATTCTTTTGGAGGAAAGTAAGCCCCCCCTCACGTGTTTAAACAGATGGTTTTTGAAGATCACTGTATGCACTGACAATTATTATTGACTATTGGAAGAGATGATATAAATATTCTAAGATTAAATATTAATGCCTTATTTTTAGAATTTTTTCCAATTTTAAATCAAGGGGACATTATTTACTAGTCCTTCAATACGTTGTGAGGTACGAAAATCATACCTTGAATTTTTTTAATTGAAAAAAGTAATATAATATTTTAAATATAGAAATATGAGGGTTTTAAAATAATATATTGATTAAATATTACTGATGATGCTGATAAAATATATTGCATCAGAAAGAACAGGAAATGGACTTAACCTCTCACCCTGGAATTATTAGTTGGGAGAAGAGGGAATTGTTAACATTTGGGCATGTATTAAATGTTAAATGAATATGCCAGGAGTTCTACATGTAGCAAGACAGCAGCACTTGGTGGAAACTTGTGTTTTATAGAAATAATACCAGTTGGTTTTGGAGAGCCATTCAGGTCCATTCAAAAAGTCCCATAAAGTATGCTTTGCAAGAGGGCTGTGTGTGATACAATTCTGATCTAAACAATACACTAAATAAATCTTAAATGTATTTTCCAAGGTCAGAGATTTTGAGAATTTTGAGTGGCAAAGAGCATTATTTTCTGCTTGACTAAAGATGTGTTTATTTTGCATTTTTCAGCTCCAAGCATATAGTCCTCCTGGCTTTAAAATGCTCTAAAGGGCATAGTAGTAGTAATGTGTTGTCATTTTAATTGGTGGACTGGAAGAATGGGCAAGGGTGTCTTTTGCAAGTAGTCCTTCCATCTCCTATAAGGAAGTATTGCCTTTAAGAGGCAACATAGACTGACTTGTTAAAAGCATTGTATATTAAGTGGTATTTAGTAGGTCAGATGTATTTCCTGAGATATGTTCAAGTTATTTGGTAAGAATTGAAGGAACTTTGACACCTAAAACCACTGATCTAAGCTTTAGGCAGAGGAGGTTTTGATTGGTGTGGTATGCACTAATAATAATAGCAAATACTAATGAACTGCTTACTGTGTGCCAAGCAAGCATATGATAGCAGATTTAATTCTCACCACCTTAGGAGAAAGGTGTGTTGATTATCCTGTTTTCATATGAGGAGATCTAGCCAGAGAGCTTAAATAACTTGCTCAAGGTCATACAGTTAGTGAAGTTTAACCTAAACAGATTGCTCCAGAGGCACTACCCAATCTCTGGAGCAAGAATATTCCCTTTGTGTCAGGCGTCACTAAGGTGTTGCAGGTGGAAGTGTGCAGGGGTTGCTTTTCAGTCTTTTTTTCTGGTGTGGTGTGGCTCCTAGAGTTACAAACCTTAGCACAGAATAGAGAAGCAGATGTGTGGATGGGGGAAAAGCACTGAAATCGTCGGCCATGGTGAGTTAGAAAACCACACATACATAGAATTTACGTAATTCTGATTTGACAGCAGACATGTGACCATGAGGCTTTAGGCAAAGTCTCCTGTCTGAGACAATTTGTTTCCATGCATGTTTGGTGCCTCTCACTTAACCTAATAGTATGCCTTATCCAGTTCTCCTTTTGTTTAAATTACATTACAGAACAGTTATATACTGAGATATGAAGAACTCTTTTTTTTTTTTAAGAAAATAGTATATCACAGGTAGTAAGGATAAATACTGTTTTGTGAAATTCCTTTTTTAGTTGTAACTGTGGCATGCTATATAAACTGTATTTTTTTAATGTGGGTAACAGTTTGAAAGCCATTGCTCTAGGTGCACTGGAAGTCTCCAAATAACTAGTTCTTTTCTCACAAGGATTATGGAGGCATTGTCATTTTTAGGTTATTAAGTGTCTTTATTTCTTAACCTTATGAAAATACGCTTCTATTGATACGATCCCCCCCCATGACTTTTTTTTTTTTTAAACTTCTCATGTAGCCGATTAAATGGGTTCTTGAGAGTGGTATCAAATTTAGCTCCATGAGGACAGAGACCATCCATGTCTGTCTGTATCCCTATGGCCTGCCTGGCTCTTAGTAGATTTTCAGTAAATATTTATTGGTAGTATGATCAGTGTTTCCATGAGTTACATTTTTTCTCCAGGAAGGTAGGAGAGAGAGACCACTTATGTCTGAGTGTGTCTGTGAGTGTTCATGTGGGGCCCTCAGAGGGCCTGCCTCAGAGGATCTTTCCAGGGTTCTGAGAGGACTGAAGAATTGCATCCTATCTCTTCTGGAGGATGTGGTTCCACCTTGGGCGACTGAGAAGATTATACTTCTCTCTGGGTCCCCAACTAGGCCATGTATCTTGATTCTCTGCCATGTTTTTAGAGTGAAAGGACACTAGAGTGGAAATTCTGGATGCCAGTCCCAGTTGTGAGGTGCACTCAATAAATGTTGACTAAAAACCACCTTTTATTGAACAGTAGGAACTAGTAAATGATTTAGAGGTATTAACTTGTTTAATCCTCACAACTCTTCTATGAGGGTGCTTATTATGATCTCTACTGTACAGGGAAATAACGAAGTTTCAGAGGATTTAAACGTTAGCTCTCAAAAATTGTTATGTGTGGAACTGAGGATATAAAGCTTTGCCCTTAATGGAGCTTATAGTCTAATGCAGCAGAATAGCGGTAAACAAGTACATATGAAATATTACGTAAGGTTAAGCAGAGATAAATGCTGTGAAGAAAAATAACGCTTAAAGAAAAATGATGGAAGAATGGGGATCCGCCTGTCAGTTTAGATGGAATAATCAAAGAATGTCTTGATGACGAGTGTAAATTTGAACAGAGACCTGGACGGAGTGAAGGAATTAGCTTGTGGATAACCTGGTGGAAGAGGCAGAAGGATAGCAACAAGGGTCCTGATGGAGCAAAGAGTTTGGCTTGTTCAGGCAACGTTAAGAGGGCCAGGTAGCTTGAGCCAAATGAGCAAGAGGAGAGTATAGTTGATGGGGTGATACGAAGTTACAGGGCCAGAGCAGGTGAGGCCTTGAATGTGGACCACTGTAAAGGAGTTTGGATCATGTTCTGATGTCTTATTTCCATACACACAAGGTCTTTTGCTAGGCAGACACCTCTGAGATCCTTTTCTGCTTTAAAATCCTGTGACTTTAAAGTAGTGATGTTACTTCAAGCCATCCACATCAGTAACATGTTTTAGCAATCTACTGCATCTCTAGACACTCTTCAGGGGCAAAGCCATTTACCCCTGCTGGTTGGTTGGTTGGTTTTTTTTTTTTTTTTTCAAGTGGGCAGCCAGCTACAGCCATAAAAGCCATGGCTGGCCCTGTCTGCTGCCCTGCCATCTCATTGCCCTTAACTCAACCTGTCAGAGCTGTGGTAGGCATGGACTGTGTTTGCCAGTATGTGGTATGTGTTTAAAGAATGTTAATCCCTACAAAGAGTCATTTTGTGTTTTTGGCATAGTGATAATTTTCATCCTCTAACTCTCTCTCATTTGCTGGAATGCTCCTTGTGCCCCCTTATAGAGAGTGTGACAACTGGGGTAGTAATGAAGCATTTGACAACTGTGTGAGTTGTAGGAACATGCCCCTTTTTGTAATAGAGGCATAATTGTAACCAAAGAAGTTTAACTTTTTCTTTAGCAAACACTGACATTTCTGTTTTAAGAATGACTTCTAGAGCAAAAGGAAATACAAAAATTACCATGTATCATGAGTACACTGAGAATTCTCTCTGTAATAGCTCAAAACTGATCTATGACCAAAATTAAAACCATATGAGCATATCCTAAATTTCAACTATTACTGTGTTTGCTTTTAATTCTGTTTGGAATAAGGCTTCAAGTGCTTTCCAGAATGATGTGAGTTACAAATAAATAGAAAAAGAGTTTTGTTGTGTTCCATTTATTTTATTTGTACATATCCATTTCAAAAAAAAAATGACTTTAAAAATACAGTTCTGTCCCAGAATTGGATCCTTATCAGCACAACCACTGAAGGGAAAAAAAAAGTCATGCAAACTGAAACTATGGTCTTTTGTAGTGACTGAATGGAAGATGCAATTATTCCGGTAGAATATATAAGAAGCTCTGATTTGGCAACTGATAGCACAAGAGAGAACCCAAATTTCACTGGTTTGAAGCAAGGAAAACACAGTTTTACATATGGATATGATAAGGTTTGCACAGCCCTGTTGAAGGCCTGTATGAAACGAATGTAGCTCTGGGATTTGTTAAACATCATGTGCTGACATGCCTCTCCTACCCACATCAGTTTGGTTACTGTTACTTTATTTCTTACTTGCTTAGCAGTAACAATAAGTAAATAGGTGATCATATGAAATCAAAACTGTAAGCTGACATTAGTCCAGTGAATGCAGTAACAAATCATCTCACGCTCTAAAGTTATGTTTGGTCATTGGTATTAATGTATCATTGCTGAAATGCACCACCAGGTATAAAAGAGATCAGGTTAGACAATTTATCCAGTTTGTTTTCCTAGCCATTATGACAGCAGTCCAAGTAGCCAGTTTCCGAAAAATGAATGGACACATGTTATTGGTGACTAGTCTGGGTTTTACTGTCTGGGGAAAGCTATATAATTTCACACTGTATTACCTCTTATCAAATTTAATCACATTTCTTATCAACAGTTGGGGTTGTCAGCCCAGTCTCTGTGGCTCTGAGCTACTGCTAGCGAATGAGACTTGAGGAAA